TGATCCAAGGTAGGGGAAATCGGAGGAGTAAACGAGTTCCCATTTCATACGATGATCGCTGTGTTGAATATAAAGTAACACTGCACCTCGCCAAGATGTGATGCTGATTTTGTTCTCCTGTGTTTTGTGTATGAAAACTAATTTCCAACAAGAAAACATCTGCAGTTTGGACGGCTTTCAAGCTCGCCATATTTGTACGCTTTCTAACCTTTGATCGTCGAGTCTATTCAAGGAATAACTTGAAGTTGTCTCGGAAAAGCTAATCATATAGTATTAACGGATTACGAGGCAAATTTCAAGTTTTGATTGTGATGAATCAGCCACAATTAGAGAGACGTCGCGGAGTATTTGAAGAGGTTCTTGGTTCACTACATCTGCAGCTCGCTGAAGAAGAGCTGCTCTTCCATGTTCACATTCAATTAATGTCTAATTTGTGCTGTTACTTTCTGCTTCTGTAACAACACAATGCTTACAGGCGCTGGCTCGGGAGAATTCTCCATCAAATTTTGGTGGTTACAGTATACTCTCCATAGACTTGCAGTATTCAGCGCAAGATTGGAGGGTCAAACTGAGTCTCGTGAGCCAATCTTGCTGGCGCGGTTATCCTTGAGTGGCAAGCGACTTTTTTTCAAGATTTTGCAGTAAATAGGCAAGTCTTTATTTTAAGATAGATACTCGAGTCTTCAAACACATGTCTGCTTAACAACACATTGGATAAGTGTAGCATCTTGGTTCTCCAAAGCGCGCTTGAGAAAATGTTTCTGATTCAATTTTGCGACCATATTTGACTCTGAGCAGATGCCCTCTCGTATGTGTCGAAGAAATCTTCTCCATTTGAGGAACTCATTTGGCATCTCTCACTTGTTTTTGAACACAACAGAGCCTTTCCTACGCATTCATTGATGGGGGAAGCATTATCTTATAGAAAAGAAACAGGAGCAAAGCAATTAGCACTATATAACATTATGATATACACTCTACAACTCCCACACGAAACGGCTTAAGAAGTGTGCGTTCGTTTAGCTGCAGAGCAAAATAAGAACGCGAAAATTTTTACTTTCGCCATCCCTAATACCACTACCTTGATTAGCATAATTTTACAATAGTCAAAAAGGATTTCTTTTCAAAGAAGATTTTTGAAATAACATAAGAATTTTATAAAGTCTGCCCCAATGAGATCAGGCCGAAACGTTGAGGTGAGTTGCGTACTCGCAGCGCTTGGGGTTGGCGCCGCATATGCGCACTTTCGAGCGAAGAGATTGAAGAGAGAGCAGACACGCAGGCCGTAGGCCCGACGCAAAACCCTGGCGACGCGGTCCGCCAGGTCTTTGGCTTGGTAGCGCAGATAATTTTGGAGCACTTTGTAGTGATGCTATAACACTAAAGATTAGATCCTGCTAATTTTGTTGAGATAATGGTACCTTGCAGCTGCAGCTGCTCATGAGCACTGCTCAATGAATGCAGAAATGCATACATTGTGCACAAAAGCAAAATTTGAGCACGATACAACATGGCATACAGGATTTTCATGATGCGATACTATGTTCCAGATAGAAGCTCAAAATAATCAGGACTTGTAGACGTCTTTCATAGAATTACAGACCAACAACAGGCACATGATGGACAGTGCAGGTGCTAAAGTATTGTTAGGTGCACAGATATTCAATGCAGTTGTTTCTGCAATATGTGGACTGTATATTCATTTCTATATTCTATTCAAAGTGCTACAGATGAATAGTTCGCCCAACAAATATCAGTATCTGATAGTTATACAGTCTCTCGTCGGCATTATTTCGATCGCTTTGCAATGCATACTCAATCAAGTAAGTTTGAATCAACCTCCTAGATGAGGCTGAAATCACAACATTAGCAGCTAGTAAAGTCTAACAAGGGGGATAATTGATCGAAGTGGCGTTTTTGTATATGAACAATTCATGTAGAGCATGGAACGCAAATTCCAAATCTGTTTTCCTTGTCTGCAGAACGTTCCTGTGAGGGAAGTTAAGAGAATTTTTTGGATTAAAACTTCAACGCGCAGCTACAAAAAATCATTAAGAACCGTAGTCTGTGAGCTCAAATGGGGCCATGGTTACTGTCACGGCGCTTTATGCTGTCAATACTTTCAATCTAATAAACGAACGTTAGTCATTACTTCTTTTGAACGCCGGAAAGACCTCAACACTTGTTCTCACTTTTTTCTGGAAACTCCACTTCGACCAATCATTCTTCCATTGTAAGATAAGTGGTAGTTTTTTTTGTGAGTTTCGTTTTACCCATCTGTTGCAGATCGTCACCATGAATGGGCAGACTGTACCTTTTTTATTTATACAACTTAACTCCACCGCTTACCAAGCCATAATCTTCATGTTAAGTTTTGCCAAAGCCTTAGAGGAGCTACTTATAGTTGCTATCAACATACACCGGGTTCTGCTATTTCTCAGGTGATTTTTACATCCATTTGACAAAGCTGACATAACGGAGCCAGTGTTACGAGTGCGATAGCAATCTTGCCCTATTTTTGGTAACGAATTAATAAGAAAGGTTGACTATACGTTCGCCCTTCTCCTTTATTGCGTCATAGTAGATTGATAATTTGTTGCGTTTTTGTCTTAAGAAGGCTAATATTGTAACGTCGGTCATTTGAGGGAAACTACCGAAACCACAAACGCCTTGAGAGAATGCATACCGACGGCTGTTTATCGTGTATTTTTTTCACATCACAACGTTGTTTCATAGTAATCGGAGATGCAAATATTATAACGCTTCGAAAGTCGCCTAGTAATTTGATTAATTCTATTGATTTTTCGTAGATATTTTGCCTAGATACAAAACTGCAATACATTGCAAACCTGTCAAATCTCGAGTCAGGACTCGCACGAAAGTAACAAATGGATCCTGCAGATAAACGCTTGCCGCTTTCATAATTTATTTCACTTGACGTGCCAACTGCACGAGTCGTTCAGTTGGAGCGCGCTCTTCATCAGTGACCGACTGTTGCTATATTGGATCTCAAACAAAGAAAGAGAAAGTTATAGGACCAAAATGTCAATGGTCGACTTGGATTTAGAACAGATTTATGCAAAAATTATGAAGAAACTATGTGAACTAAAAGTGCCACCCCAGGATGGTATTAGGCGCAACTACTACCGTAGATTGGAGAATCTGCTGAACACTCTCTTTATGCAAGTTTCTCGTATCAATTTAGATTTTGTTCTTACTACCGTCCATATATGCGCAAAGTTTTGAGCCATACCGATACTCTTGCCATGTAAGCGAGTACTTTCCAACACAAGGAAAGTCACAGTATTAATTTTTTGAAGAATTTCGAATTCTTAATTAGCCTTTGCATTTACCAAATTAGCTGTCATATCGTTATCTGGGCGCTGTAAACGGTCTGTTCTTCCTTTGAATGCAAATTCGTACATTGCGCAAAAATGTATTTGAGCACATCAGTTTGTAAAAGCTTGTTCCTCATGGGGCTGGGGTATTTAAAAGGTATTCCCGTAGTGTAGGTGAGTTGCGTGATCACGATGCGTTTTCTCCCTAAAACGATTTTCAGCTTAACATCTGCCACCTTCGTGCCTCTCCCTGTCTCAAGTGTTACAACATCAATTGCTCTCATCTACATAATCGTATCGCGCGCGCATGAATGCAAGGCTAAAATGGACAAATGGTTTGTTCACAATGCAAAGGCAAATATATGATCCTGATTTTGCTCTACATTCAGAATATTACTTAAGAAACATGTAAAAAAAACAGCACTAAAACTCAAGTGACGCAATAACTTTTCTCAGATTGTCATCTTCCGGGGTAAAGGACTATATGTCGCCGATAGGCTCCACCCCGTACGGACAGCTGCTACAAACCTGTAATGTGTTCGCGGTGTGCAGGGATGCGCGGTCTGTTGCAGATGTCCATGGGGTTTCCGTGTGACGGACGGTTTTGGCAGTACCTTCTCGGCCAGCACCATTTACAGTTCAAAGCAGCTTGCCAAAAGCGTTAATCTTCGTTCATCGCAATTCATGTTACCGTCTCTTTTTAGTGTTCTTCGGATCAAGGCAATCGCTTATCGCACTGTAATTACGCGTTAGAGATCTTCCAATTCCAATTTATCGTGGCACACTTGTAGGAGAATTTACATCAAAGCAAACTCAAGAAATTGGATGAAAAAAAGTATGTTCGAATGAACTTTTTCCCTGCTTTTTGAACGACATAAAACATCACTGGCAGAACTTTTTACAGTCGGATAAGATAATTGATCAGCTTTACCTTTTGCTCCTTTGCTCCATTATTTACGATCCATTGCTTATGTATGACTGATTTTTGGTTGAAGTCTTTGTACGTTGCAACAAATGCTGATTTGGGCTAGCGAGCAGCTGGCAGCTAGAGTCTGGCACGCTATCATTATTCTTGACCGTAGGCCGCAACAAGGTCTTCATGGAGCATATATCTGTTTCTCACATGACTTTTAAAAGACTTTTCTTTGCCCTTCTTACGCCGTGAGAAATCTATCTTTTTGCGGAGAAATTAATCCAAAACGTTCTTGGTGCATGCACAAAATCCAGCTATAGCTGCGCAGTACACATAGTCGGTAGCCATGTACCATGATTGTGTTATCAGTTTGGTTTCAATTTAACTTCCATATTTGAGCTTTACGTGCTTTACTTTAGAGGCTCTTGAAACCGCCCTGCTTTTCCCTGCCGCTGCTTGAAAGTACTGCATTACGTTGGTCTGTTGATTGGTGTTCTACGTTGGTTTTTTGTGACAGAATGAACTCGTCAAACAGAAATATCCTGTTTGATAAAAAGACAAGTTGGGCGTAAATTTTTGAGAAGTAATTTCATAGAACTTGTCGGTACACCGATTTATCAATAAGCATAGATTTGAGGACAAAGATAGCACATTCAAAAAAGTTCCCCAGTTACATGTAGTAACCACGGATATGTTCTAACGCATAAGCAATTCGATTGCTGGTTCCTTGCAGGCCACTCTGGCTCAAGATGTTTTATGTCAGTTTTATACCCATAACACTAGTATATTCGACCTGTTATGGAGCATCTACATCAGGATTATTTCTGGTGAGACTATCAGGAGAGCAAGCTACGTAATTCATATCGAGATTAAGGTTGGACTTGTTGGTCCATTGTTAGAAGTTGCTTTGGTGCCCATTGTTATTGTCATTTCGGTGGTATGCTATAAGCTTATACGCAGTTATTTTCGCCGTGTCGTTGGTTACACTGAAAAAGTCAGACGAATGCAAACGCGTTTGTCTACCAGTATTTATCTTCAAGTGGGTGACTCTTAGATTATTCTTTTCTTGAATATGATACATGTGGTTGATGTGAGTAGCCATTTTTGCTGAAACTCATGTTTCAGGGCGTTTTCCACTCTATTTTGGCTTTGTTCACGGTGACAATAATACCCGTGGCGTTATTGCTGCAAGCATTTGATAGAGAGGAAAAAGTCACTTTTGCAGTCGTTCTGGCCTATAAAGTGGTGAGTCGTGCAATTTTTGGAACAAGTTTATTTGTGTGAAGGACCTGCGACATAAAAAGTTTTAGTAAGATGTCAGGGCCTTTTATTTCTGCACAAAGATATTTTGAATATATGTTTTATTCATAAGTATGCCACACACAAACTTTTCCTATGCCATCTAAGCCCTCCAGGTTTGAACATACGAGAAATCATGGAGCGATATTGATTACGAAAGGTGCACGAAAGATATCAGCCTAAAAATTCCGCCGGTGTGCAAAGTTTGATCGTAAACTGTCAAACGCCATTTTCCAATCCATCCACTAAGGCAGGCACACGAACAGGAAAGTAATCAGGTTGTGGCCTATGTACTAGGCACGTTGACAAAGCCAATCCTTGATTAGTCTTTGTCAAAATAAGTTTTTCTACGGTGTTCTATAATATCTGGTAAATTCTAAAGTAACAACATACAAGAAAAGGAAAAAAGATACATGTGAATTATTAGGGTGATCGGTAAAAAATGGGGCAGCATGATTTTTACAAAATTTTGAGATTTTTGTTTCGATCAACAACAAGCAGGCTGCAACTTAAACGTCGCTTATATAAGCGACTTTCTGGCACTATTATTCTGGCAAAGCGTCAACACTCCTCTCCCACAACCCTAAGCGTGGCAACCTGGAGAACGCGAACAAGGTTTTTTGAACATCGCTCATTCTTGCGCTGCCATACCGTAAAGTTATGAGCAATCGATATACCATTCGAAAGAGCTTTTCATAATCTTTCAAATAGTATATTAAACATATAAGATTATGTTTTACTTCTGGGTAAAAAAAGCGAAATACCTGAGAGATCGCGATTTTTTGGCGCAACAAAAACCAGTAAATCAAGTTTCAATCTGTATTTTCCGAAGATAGATAAAATGTGAGGTAAGCTGCATATGGATGGATAGAGCGCGAAAAGCTCTTTCAGATGGTATCTATAAAACTTGCGTTCACCTGCAAAGATTTGAATAGCACGTATCTTTGTTCTCAAAGCTGCTAATGGCCATATCTCCTGAATTTGAAAGTTGAGGCCAGCAATCCATCGTGGGTGGTGACTGTACCTTCACACATAGCAGCAGTAGTAATTTGGATGGTTTCGTATGTTTCACTGCGCAGATACTGCCCGAAGTTTATAATTTGTCAACGTGACTAACTTTGCATTTCAGCCACTATAAAAATTATTAGGTATGTAAATGACTTTATATAGGTGTTTTCTGAAAGAGAATACTTTATTCTAACATGTGTCAAAATTGGGAAGTTTAACCACTTTTCTTTTTTGAGAAATCTACATCTATTCTCTAGGTGCCCCATTTTTTACCGATCACCCTAATAGTATCTCAGACAGTGGAAGCGGACATGCCGCTGCACATATTTTACTACTGCAGGCTGTTTATGGGAAGACGTTGGAGCTCCCGCGCGCCGGGCGAAGAATCGCTGTAGTGAATGAGGGACCTCGGATCAGTCGCTGTGCAGCTCTCCCGCGGTCCCTGGTGCAATTACACTAAACTGCGCTAAGCTAACCGCTGCCCTTAGAGGCAGCGTCCAGGCAGATCTGGACCCATGGGGCTTTTACGTGGAAAGTACTTTTGGGGCCCTAACTAAGACACTGCCCAAGCGGCAGCTCAGGTAGTGCTTTAATGGCTGAGATATTTCCCTCGAAACTGGCCCCCGCGAACGTACTGGCATGGATTCATGGCAGTTTCGCGCTAGGATACACGCTCTGCGCCATGAATCCATGCGAAACACGGTCGCGGAGTCCAGTTTCGAGGGTAATATCTTAGCCATTACAGCACTACCTGAGCTGCCGCTTGGGCAGTGCTTTAGTTAGGAGCCCAAAAGTACTTTCCACGTTGCCTAGACGCTGCCTTTAATTGCGGCGTGCAGGCCCGAAGGCCCTAGTTTACTGCATTGGCCCATCCTCCGGCTGGTCTGCGGAAGCTGCGGAAATCCGGCCGCATTAATGGCAAAGGACAGCGGCTCGTCCGCTTCCAGTAGCTGAACCAGCAAGATTTCCAAACTCAACTGAACAACTCATTTTGATAACTTGGAGTCAGCATGATTGTGAGCCATTTAAAAGAACAAATATTGGTAACAGAAGCTCCGAATAGACAAATATCTGTCTTTTGCACACATTATTGCATAAGCGGTGAGGACCAGTAATCAGCAGAATATGTAGATTACGCTGACGCTCCCTTCTCGCCCTTTGAGGCGCTCTCGGTGTTGAGACATTTGATTTGGCGCGTTGACAGAATTTTACTACTGAGATTTTTTGTCGCAAAGCTCCTATGTTTTGCAATATGTTGTGTATTCAAAATTTTTGGGATATTTTGCAGTGAAAGGTTATTATTAATGAAGTTTTTGACAACTTTGATTTAACGGGATAGGCGGATAAACGGGGCTTCGAAGCCTAATAAGGGTCAGAAAATGGTCATAGAGCACCCGCAAAAGGGAGACAGGCTGTGCCGTGGGCGTGAACTGTCACCTTTCAGCTCCAACCCCTTTAAATCAAAGCGTACAAGCCAGAACTGCACTGCTTGCACACTATCGATGACCATTCCAGATAATCTACCTTGTCATACGCTGGTACACTGCTGTAACAGGAGCACTGATGATATGGTCAATCCGCGGAACACACAAACTTTCAGAGCAGAAGCTTATTTCTGTGAGGACTGTCACTTGATTACTTGTTGTGAATAATGAAAAATTCAAATTTTCTTGTGCTTCGTAAGAAAAGCTAGATAACAGAAAGATTTACATGGTTGGGCGGACATTTTAGATGTATGGGAGCAAAGCACGATGCTTCCATGCATCAAACCCAATGGAAGAATGTTATTGCCAAATCAGGAAACGAATTAATTCACCTCCACACAATTTTTTTAAGGCTCAAGATAGCACCACGTCAATGAAGAGTAAGAGATGCACTTTATTAGAGTCCATTATCGACTCCATGGGTTTTGAGAAAACGAGCTTTCTAGAGAACAAAAAAGCCATTAGGCGTAACTTTGACTAATATGCTTTTGCACATGTTGTTGCACACCTTTTCAAGGACCAATAGTCCTGGAAGGCAGCGATGTTTGGTTTGTCCACCGTCAATAAAACGACGCTGTTGCCAAGGTTGGTGACATTTATATGACCAATTAGTTTCTTTCCTCATTTCTCGAGGTAGTAATGACAGCTTCTGTCTCGACCAAGACGAAGGTTTTCTTCAAGTAGGTGAAGGTAGGCCAAAGCGACATTACGTTGCGATACTACGATAACCTTCTTTACCTTTGTGTAATTTTTTCACCCACTGCATTTCACTACCAATTCTGATGAAAATCTTAGCGCGAGATTTCGTACGATAATTGATAATGTTAGAGATACCTCTCTCTCTATAAATCACTAAGGCGGTAATAATCTAACCATACTTGGTGACATTATTGATGCCGAGAGCGCATCTCACACAAAGTTGCAAACGACGTGAACTCGCAGACTAACCACAGGCGAAACTCGCAAAAGAGAAGCCTCAAGCGTGCTTGCGGCATGCGGCGACCATCTATACAGTGCGTGGTAGACTAGACTTTGCGGAAACACCTAATTATATAATTAATTACTTATTATACAATCTTATATATAAAGCTGAAGTCTATTTGTCTGTATGTCTGTCTGCATGTCTGGTGTGTGTGTATAAGGCACTCGAAAAATCGTGACAATGGCGCTACCGCGCGCGACACGCACGCACCTTCCAGCAACCGCATTTTCTTGGTTTTGAGCTTTACTCGACTAATTTTTCTGCTTGGGTATGATAGTACTTGGACACTAAGTGACTGAGCTGGTGATGCCTTTTTGCATAAGGGTGTTATGCTCCTGTGGGCGCAAAGACTGCAGTCAAATCCGTCGTCACGATTTTGTAAGTGAACCTTACGTATGTTTCGAATAGAAAATTCCATTTTTGAACCGATCCGGACCAAACTTGGCAAGCATACACTTCGGGGCGGGGCGGGTGTCATAGGGTACTTTTCGTTATCGATCGACATCGATTTTATCGATTTTTTGCAAAGTTTGAGCTACAGAGCTGGGAGTTGGCACAGGGGGTAAGTGAGCATGGCTATTCCGAATACAGTATTAGTTATCAGAATTATCTATTAGTTTCATCCATTTTATCGACTTTTTTGCAGAGTTCACCTACGAGGCTGGGATATGGCACAGGGGGGTAATCAAGCATGCTGATTACGAAAACACTTTCTTTTTTTATTATCCATTACTTTCATCTATTTTATCAATTTTTTAAAAATCTGAGCTGAAGTGGAAGTTGGCACAGAGGGTAAGTGGGCATGCTGATTTCGAAAACAACACAGGGAACGGGAAATAAAGTGTAGAAGTGATCAGAGGGAAAGGCTGTACAGGGATAAAGATGGGAACTTTATTAAGTTTTGACAGGGCCAAGCGAAGCCGGTAAGCAAGCTAGTTAATTAATAATTATGTATAATGCGCAAGGAAAAGACAAAAATGCGTAAGAACATATAGTGGACGAGACGCAAAACTGAGATGGTGCTAAGCAGGACTAATCATAGACAGAAAATTTTGCTTGCGCTCGACATACCAAATTGACTTAGGAATAAGCAGATCAAAGATCACAGTCATATCATCGAAGAAAATTTTTTGGAGTGAGTGATCAATCAATTGCTAAGACGAGTTGTACAATAATCCCGCATCACCCCAATCTCACAGACATCTCTCGACATGCTTGAAGCACCTTTCTCTCCTAAGAGAGCATGCTATTCATCGTGCTCTCCGATGCGGCAGCTCCGACAGCGCAAACTCCAAAATGTGCTGGCAGATCACTCAAAATCCCTCCACCTTCTGTCTTTTCAATATTTTAGTATGGGATTTTTGAAATCTGGAACGATCATGTAAGCCTCGTTGAGATCGCTTTCGTTTCTACGATTGAAACACTCTTTATGAAAATGATCTCAATTTTTGGTCGCTGTAGCTGATTCGTTTCGAGATTACGACAGGTGTGGGCGAGCCTGCCGCCAGGTCGAGGGGATTCCGGCCCAGGTGTCCTTGAGCTTTCAGTGTCTTGGATCTCAAGCACCGTCAGGTTTTCTAAAGTCTTGATAGATTCTTGATGAGGACTGGAAAAATGTTATGGCTTGATTTTTGGAGATTTAGCGCTGTACGAGGTTTTTTATCGACATGATAGCATGACAAGGTTTGGAAGTCTAAGAATGCCAATACAACACATTTGTCTAACAATTATGCAGGCACATGCACGCTGTGTCAAAGAGTTGCAAACAGAAGTCATATGGCCAGCTCCACTGCTCTTAAAGCTCATTTCGGTTGCAAGACGAAGTACGACTAAGGACGCAAGCTGAAGAAGCTTTGACAAATGTTGCCTAAACCTCTTCCAGCCTCGACGGCAGCAGCCAATACCTCTCTCTTCTTTTTTTTTTGGTGTCTTCTTCTATACTTTGCATCGCTCCGCTAGCTTGAATCAGCCGACAATTGCCTACGGATTCACTCGTCCAAGTTGGCGTATCACTTACAAGTCTTCCGCAAAAGACATTTGTGGTAGCTCTATAATCTCAGCTTTCTTAAGGCAAAATGTTGGACAACATCAAAACTATTCAACTACAAAGGTGAGCAAGAGCTTAACATTGGGGAAGCTAGATCTCAGTTGGCATTTGGGAATATTTCTTAAATGAAGGCTCTCTTTAATCTGTAAATTTGACACAGAAGGTCCGGAACAATTGCAAGAAGTCAAGAATGTTGTAATGATATACGCTCTGTTTATCTATGATTTCAGTCTTATTATGGTGCTCTTCAAGATACAGTGCAGTGCATAGCAGATTACTGAGTAGACCAGTGCGTTACCTCTACTTTGCAGAGGCTTCACTGGTCCTTCATGCATTCCGATTCATTCAATGGGAACATCTTCTTTGAAATCAGGTAACAATGACCGTTACAAATGAAATGTGCGAAACTGACCATCCATCTTGAAACCCTTGCCAATTGATATCGTCAACTTTAAGCGACAAATAAGTAGGATATCAGATTGACTTTCTTCCATTTCAAGAATATGTTACCTATTACAACCCTACGAAGAATTTTCAAGGCTTTTGATCATCATCTTGTAAATTGAGCTTGTTCTTCATTAACTTATCTCTTCTCGGCGTTTTTGTTGCAATAACGTTTCTTGTGAAGCTTTTGCTATTTGCGTGAAGCGAACGGATGAAGCAGTGTTGCGTGTTTTTACCTCATTAAGACCGTGCGCTTGTGTTCTAGGCCCGCAGCATAAAAGTTCCTGCGTCAAGCACTTCGTACAGGCATCAAAAGCAATCTTAATCAATCAAATCTCTCGATGCACTACTCAGTCCTAGCCATACTGTGTTGACAATAAACCATGTCTATGGTTATCACTCTCTCAAAATTCCTATAGCCTCTTTTCGTTTTTCGTTTGATGTTATCATCCGGTATTAGCTTTGGCCGACTTGATGGAACTCTTTCATTCATTCAGTCCACTAATATGCCCGTTCAGTAAATGATTTGGTACATGATCACAATATCGTAGCTCAGCTGAATACACTTGAAGTCAACCAACAAAATACTAAAAAAATATTTTAGTTTTTGTATTATGATTAAACGAGATGAAAAAGGACTTGGAAAATTTGAGATAATAATAATTGAAAATGTGTTTGCTGTCAAAACAGTATCGTTAAGATGAGTTGTGCGTTTAGAGATCAATTGTGTTTGTACGAGGTGTCAGGGTAAATTTAACCTTGCTCTATGCTGGGGTTAAATTTACCCTGACGAGCCACGTCCTCAGAGATTTACCCCAAAGTTTTGAGGAATGCGGGTTAGTCGCTTTTCCGGGAAGGTTAAGCCTACCCTATGCTTCGTGAATACGGGTTTATGCTTTCTGGGGCAAAACTTACTTTCAAGAGTAAGAATTACCTTCAGGGTTCATTGATGAATATAGCCAGGTATAAACGTATGTATACAATATCACTATCATCTACGTTATGTACCAAATTTCGTAAACCTATGTGTCGTTGATAGTTTTCGACTCAAGTATTTCAGACGATCACCAAACCGACTGGGGTTATTTGGAACACAAATACGAGGAAAGACACATAGCTTTGCAGCTTCTTGGCTTGTATTATTTTGAAACCCAAGAATCTGTCACAAAGTGAAAGAATCAAATCTCCTTTACGCTTTTTGGAGACAAAAAGATTTTTAGTAGCAAGTCTTGATAAGTACCGCGATTTAACTCACTTTTAGACCATAGATGCTAAGACTGAGATAAGATTTTCAGCCACCTCTCCTTTCTATGTACGATTTGTTGTTGCAGGTTTTGCCACCTTGATAAGCCAAGAGATCTTATCAATTTTTCTTGTTGAAATTTTGTACACTTTAATGCTTTTCTCGCTGTTCGATACAGCTCTGGAGCAGACGGAGCTAATTTCTAAATTAATTATCTAATTTGATTTTTTAATGCTCGATGCCAACACGTGCCTCGTACTGGCTGGAGCCGGTATAGACAAGAGGCATTATACAAGGTGTTTGAGAAGTATTGGCACGTTTTGCTGCGTTAATTTTTCGTTGCTAAAATTTGTAAATCTTGGCTGTCAGCTGGTTGTAGTATTGCCATTTCTTGCTTTCTTATGAGGCGAAATTCGTTTGCTTTTGTGCGCTCAT